CTCCAAACTTATGCATCCCAGTTCCCAGCCTCAACCCTTGAACTATGATAGATTAGTATTAGTATTATTCACTAATCTTGCCAGACTGTTGTTAGGAATGCTGAGGTAATGCAAGTGAAGCACTTCCATGAACTACATAAATGATAAGTATTTTATTATTTTAATTAGACACTGTCTAAAAATGAAGCATTCATTCACTGTAGTAGTGTTTTCATAGTCATAGTTCATGTCTCCTGTTGTTTAGTAGCAACATACTACCTTACACAATTACAATCTCTTGTTCTTATTCTCAACAACTCTTTTTTTAAAAAAATATGTTTCCCTTCCCGTCCCCCTCTCCCCCACATATGAATATAACTGGAGAAATTCTCTAACCGCGGAAGACATTTTCAAGGCTTTTTGCACTCTAGTTTCATTTTAAATATTTTATATTGGCTTGTTCTAACTGAGGAACGTGCAGTTTTATCCTGCTCAGAAAAACAGGGTTGGAAATTAGTGCTATAACTATTTTTGATAGCGCACAACTAATACGTATACTGTGTTGTACTTACTGGTTCCCCCATTCACGAAGTCTCTTAGTAGTTATTGCTATTAAGTGTGTGTATATTTATTTGTCAGACTTTTGTCCCAGGTGATCAGGGTTTCCTGGGTTCCTAGCAATTCAACAGTGGCACCTATTTGGGGATGGTACCTAATACATCGGATACCAATTCCTCCAAAATGTTGGCTTGAACTTTGTAATCTGAAATATTTTTTTACGCCTTTATGCAGGCAAATATTAACCTAGTGAATATGCTAATCAGTACAGGGATGGAAGGAAGGGAGAAAGCTTAAAGCCTTTTACCATCTCAGAAGAAAATCTGTTCTGTCTAACAGGTTTAGATCAGGTGACTTTTATTCCAGCAAACCATGTTCTCAAGTGACTGTCTCTTTTCTAATGTCGAAAATCGGAGTCGAGGCAGAACTTTCAAAATGTGTACAGTAAGACCTAGACATTGGGCCAAAGTGGTTATTTGTCGTCTCATCTGATGAATACATCATGCATGTTCAGGAGGTTATAGCTGAAAAGGATAGCAGCTGCTTGTTGGAAGAGTGCAAGAACAAGGAGTAACTTGCTTTCAGTAGGGCCAAATACATTTCCGGTATAATTTTAGTGGAGTTTAAAACGATATCTAGGTAATGTGTGCTCCCATTTTATCTTAAAAAACCAAGCATAGCAGAGCCTGATGATTATTTAGATGGATGTTTGCCAAGGGGGAAACCAGCTTGTGTAACACGTGTGTCTTGGGTGCAACAGTGTTGCTTAAAGGCCACTAACAGGATAACTACTGAGAGGAGAAGCAGATTTTCCTTTAACATGATACGCTGCCCTGCTGCTTTCAGATGGCAGAGATTTGAAGTTTAATTTCTTGCTGAAATGGAGTATCTGTATTTAAGAATAACTTTTCATTTAGCGTTTGTTCACTTGGCTATCTATTTGTATGCAAAATGAGCCATAGCAAGCCTTGTATTTTATTTTGTATTGACCACACATACTTGCTTGTTGGCTTTCTTATCTTATGTGTAGTACCATTTTTTCCTAAGGCCCTCCCCCATTTTGTAATTCAGATTTTTGTTTATGATGATAAATACATTACAGTCTACTAGTGTGTCCTGAAAAAAAATCTCATGATTGTTTCCTTTTCCATTTAGGATTAATATAACGAAAATCAGAATGTGAGATAATCATAGGTGTGATTCTGTATTAAATAATTATGAGTATTATCTAGTTTTTAAGTTTATTTTCAATTCGGGGATAAAAAATAGAATTCCGTGTAACTAACTTTTTCTTACTGCAGCTGTTTTGGCTTGCCACATTGCATATACCCATTTCTTCTTAAGATCAGATGTAGCCTTCCTTAAATAAATCCTTTCCCTGTAATACTTAACATTTTATATATTAGATCTCTTCAGAGCTGCTTGAGCTATAAGACCTCTAAAATCCAGATCCAAATCTTACAGTTTAAGCTCTTCTTTGGGTTGCATATCACACAGGTGGTTTTCTTGACCTTCTCCACCTCCCTCCCTCCGGTTAAGGATCTTAATTAAGATGTTGCAGTTAAGATATATTGCATAAGGGTTTGTGCTTGCTACTGTTCACAATGAAATCAGGATTGTGAACTGAATTCGGTCCTTCCATTAAGAATTCTCTTGGCATTCTTCAAAGACTTGTTTTATGCTCAGTCGGCCTTTTAAAGTTCTGACCATATTAAGAGTAGAAAAGGAGCTAGTCTGTTAATGCAGTCTTTTCATTACCCTAGATAATAAAATTTCTCTGTGACCTGTTAATCTCTACTATGTATCCCAGAAAGCCTGCAGATCTAGCGTGAGAAACAATTTCTGCTCCTTCCCTACAGAAAATAAGTTCTGTAATTATTTTTCTGGCCAGAGAATCAGGAAATAGCAAAGAAAATTATGTGTATTTAGAAAGTTGCCAAAGTCTTTGCCTGTGAGGAGATCAGTTGTTGGATTCTTCAAAAAGAAGAAATCCTCTGGTCTGTGAGTCCTCAGAATATCCTTAGTATTACAGTTTATAGGGGAAAAAATCCCCAGTACTAAACCTCAAGCAAGCAGAATCGGACAGATTGGTTGCAGCTTATACAACGAATATACATGTCTAAGAAGTTAGTATCCACTTCACATACTCAGTTTTGCTTGGGTTCATAGCACAGTACATGGATTTTTATTTTTATTTTTATCATGTCATTTATATCCTGCTCTTGAGTGAACTCTGAATTAAACAGAAGGCCAATATCTCATTTAAAAAAAAATTAAAATCAGTTTTGGAAGTCTGTAGTTCTGAGCAGAAAAGTAGCAGGAAGCAATGGAATGTTTAACCTTTTTTGCAGCTTGTTGTTTTCCTGTGCCAAATCCTCCCTCCCAGTCACTTTTCCCCTCTCCCACCAGTAAGGTCCAGCTTGCAGTTTCCCCACAGGCATCTGGTTGGCTACTGTGAGAAGAGGATGCTGGAGTAGATGGGCTGTTGGCCTGATCCAGCAGGCTGTTCTTATGTGTCAAATGCATATAAACACTGGGTATTGATACACATACCATTTTGTTCCCTACATGGCATTTCCAGTGGATGGGCTAAGCCCACAGTCTGATTCTGCATCAGATGTTCCCAGACAACTTACCGGGTCAAATATTTTTTGCTTTATGTTCATTACTGGTTTCAGAAGCTGGTCCTATAAACATTTTGTAAAAACGGTAAAATCTATCAGGAAAGGTAGATTGAAAATAGTATGTGAAAAAGTATGGCAGAAATAGGCCATCATTGATCATTAAGTAGGAGTCTACTTATCCTTGTCCCCCAAAGCCAAACAAGAATTTCACAGTGTTGAAAATCTTATATATAGAAATATATTGTAGCATACAACCATGACACCTTGTTTTGAGCAAGCAAATTGATCCGTCTCAAGCTCATAGGAGCCAACTCCTAATAAAATATTTGAGGGGGCTGCCCCCAAAAGTTAATAGGCCTTGCCATTCAAATGTTGTGCCTGTTCCACGTCTTGTGACTGGTTATGCAGGCCAGGGCTTACCTGCTCCCACAATAGTTTATGCAAGTTGGCACCTCTGCTCAGGGTAGAATCTAGTTTGAGTGATCTCTCTTAAATATATGGAGGTACATCAACTTGGAATCACATACATTGTGATGAACCTGATTTTTCTGCCTCAAGTCACCACCTTACAGGGGGTGACTCTCAATCCTAGCTGCTCAGAAAGTATAGCTTGATTATATAGGGCTGCATGTTTGCATCACGGGTTTTGCATTATATTTTTCAGGTGTACATCAAATATGTTTTAAGTATATGCTAGAAACATAGTGTATAAAACTGTAAATTATGTAATTTCGGTTAGTTGGGATACATAATTATATCTCGTTTAAATGCAAATTAGAGTGTGTATTTTGATGTACCATTGCATTTTGTTCTATACATTCTTTCTGAAGAGCCAATTGCATAAGCTTTCCTCATTTTTTCTCTGCCTAAACCTTGAGAGACGATAACTGGGCACTGTTAAAATACTGCTACTTCCTTCCCTACTCTGGAATTTGCTATATTTTATTAAGGAACACATTAATGTTGGGAGATAGGATCCTGAATGTGCAGGAAGAAAAAAACATGGACATACATTTATAGATTATAGAAAAAACATTTTGACATCCTCAAGACACTTCAGTAATTAACTGTAATATTCAGTTTTATAGCACCATCTCCAGTCATACAGTGTCAGGATGTTCGATAAAAATTGACTAACAGAGACTTACTATATCACTTTGCTATTAGCATTATTTTGTGCTTTTTAAGATCTATATGTAACCACTGGAAAACAGTTAAGTCATTCTGGATTGCAATGTCACCAGTATGCTGATGACACCAAATACTGCCTTTCTTCTCTGTCAAGTGCAGAAGCAGTTGTAGGTTCCCTGAGCAAATGCCTAGATTGTCTGATGGCTAATGAATTGGAAATTAATACAGACTGGACCGATATATTAAGCCAATTTGGAGCCATGGTTTTGTCTTTCTTTGATAGGGTTATACTGCCCCTAAAGGGCAAGGTTTGCTTTTTGGATACTACTTTAGCCTACATTTCTGGTGAAATCCCTGATATAGTGAATACAAATGTTTCTATCCGCTTTGGCTGATGAGCTAGCTGCAATTGCTTCCATCAAGTAGGCCCAAATCATCCGTCATTTTGAAACACCCAAACCTGCACTGACTGCCTGTTTTTATCTCAGCCAAGTTCAAAGTACTGATGAGGTGTGGTCTTTTTTTAAGATTTAAAAGTCCTGTATAAATTGGGGTAGAGGTGGCTAATCTGTGATGCTCCAGATACTGTTTTATTATCAGATACTTGCAGGTTTATAAGCCACTTCGTGTGCTATGTGGATATACAGAAAGTGCCATATAAATAGTTGAATTAATTAATTAATTAGTTGCTGTTGTTGTTTTTTACAGACAAGCAAGTGTCTTCACACAATTTTGCTGAAGGTCCATGTTGACCAAGACTGCATAAGAACAGAAAGCAGACTTTGCACAGCCTGCATCCAGAGCACTTGCTCTCATCACGAGGCCACACCGCTTCCTCAAATGTAAGTTGGTATTAACACATTGTTTATGTTTTAAGAACGTTAATTGAGCTAAATGTAGATTAGCTGATATTATATCCACATCTTGGTTTGCATGTATTCCTTGTTATTTATTCCTTATGACATCTTTCTAAAGCACACTGGATGCAGGTGATAATTTCCCATGCAGTGAAGGTGTCATAATTTGACTTTGCTTAAATCTTGGGAAGATCAGTCAGCCAAGATAGGGCCAAGGCCAGATTCTGTTTAGGAGTGCAGTAGATTTTGTTTGTTTTGTCCATTTGTTTGTTTACAGTTTTTATTGATTGTGTTTATTGGTTTATTGGTTTTAGTATTCCAGTTGTGTTTCTAAGTTGCTTTGAATCATTTCTATGGGTAAAGCGATGAATAATAATAAATGTGAATTTCATCTTCAGGCTGTGTGCCGAAGAATTATGCACTATGTGAAACCAACTCTTCGTAGTGCACTAAATATCACATACTACATAATTTCACACACTACATAATTTCATTATGGGATGACACTTCCATATTTGGGAAATACTAGGTGGCCCATGAATAATAAATAATACAATTCAACTACCACATATGGACACATTGCATTGTGTTGCACGTCCTTGTCCTTGGGACCTATGTATTGTATATACATAGCTAGTGATACATATGTGTCTTGTAGTGGGATATTTTTACATCAGCATGTCAAAATCCAGTTTTTATTCTTCTCGTGAAGAAACTCCAGTTTTAGAGCAAGCAAAGCTACATGTAGGCTGGAAAAGTGGGCTGCAACAATATCATTGTCCCTTCACATACTTCAATCAATCTTCTGTAAGGGCAGGAAGAATTTGCGGTAGTAGCTAGAAGTGTCTAGACTTGCAGAATATTTCTATGTAGTTAGCTCGTATGGTGTGTGTGTGTGTGTGTGTGTGTGTGTGTGTGTGTGTGAAATACACCCACAAATTCACCCACACAATATAAGACTGGCTCAGTCTGAGTACTGACCTGAATACTACAAGTAGTGCCCCGATTTTTGCTAAATTTTATTTTGTAATTGTATAAAACTTTTTTTTTGGGGGGGGAGTGTTGCTTGTCATTCCTCCTTCCGAATCTGGAGTGTCTCTGGAGAAAATGAAACTACCGTACTTTTCACTACTTTTAGCATGCATAGTTGCATTTCATTTACTCAATGCTAAAGGTCGCTGGCTATTGCAAGACAGATGCTCTACCACTGAGCTATGGCCCTTAACTTCATTGTTAACTGATTTGTGTGGTTGTACAATGGACAAGCAAGAGAAGGTAACCTCAGGTGGGTTTGCATATGCAACATTTACCAGGGCAAGAGGATGACAGAAGGGGACAAAGGAGTTTAAGGTTGGTCACAATCAGCTCAGCTTAGATGCAGCAATTGTGATTTGTTGATAATTGTAAGATTATAGTTCAGATATACTTGCGTGTGTCTATTGTGGGGGCAGATAAGCGTGTGTACAGCAGTATATGAATAGGCGAGTCTTCAGTTCAGGCCATGGTTTTTATGGGTAATGCAGGGCTATGCCGATTTCAAGCTTGGTTTTATTCAGATACCACAGTTTCTGAGGTGGTTGTTATATCCTTGTAGCAGTAGTGCAGACAAGCCTCAAGATTATTCTACAAAATGAAGGTGTCTGTCAAAATGTAGACTATTAATATGATAAAGGATGCAATGTCCAGCCACTTAAATGGTCCTTCTAATGGCAATGACTATATTTTTGAAAATAAAGCTTTTCTGGGACATTATCACTTTTACTTTGTATCGTACCAAAGCTTTCCAAGCACTAGCCTTTGCAAATATACATTTAAGTGTGTTGTTGGCAGATTGTTGGCATCCGTCTATCTCGAGAGACAATGACGTGCACGTGTGGAGGTGACATCAGAGGTGGATTTAGGGGACCGCCTCAGGGGTAGCACAGGGGGCACTGCAACTGTTATTTAGAATGGAGCACGAGAGGTTGGGGGGTGCTGAATTTTGACATTGCACAGGGTGCCGCTGAAATTTGAGACCCCAAGGTCCACCACTCGTGAAGTCAAGCCGCTGTGTTAGCAGCAACGAAGTGACCTCCCTGGGGTGCAAGCCTGGGCAGTTTGTATGGAGGTCCTAGGCTGTCTAGGCACAAGACCCCTCTTGGGTTCATTGATGTGGTCCAAAGGAAAGCAGAGCAATATGTTTGGCACCAACTGGCTGGAAGCAAGTGTACAAGGTGCCATCCAACCATCCTAGGGACTCCATTCCTGATTTGTGTAGGGTTTACTCCTTAGCCTTTTCTTCTCTGCTGCAAGACAGCAGAGGTTTAGGACCAGAGTTTCCCTGCTCCTTGATGGACCACCTTCCCAGGTTGGCGAGCCCCATTTGCCCCTCTCTTCCTTCTACAACATGTGCAGTAACTGCTCTCTTGACTGTTGGACCCACTATTTGTCTCTTTTGCTCAATCTGCCACAGCCTGTCTTTGCATGTAGGGGAGGTCCCTAACTCACTGAGGGTTTGAGACCCATCGGCTCACATGGTTTAGCCAGCCAGTCAGCCATTCCTGGAATGTGGCACAAGAGCTACAGGTGAGAGTGTGGCACTAGGAGCCACAGGTGAGAGCTGAGTGCAGGGTGGGGACCTAAGGTGGACAAAGTGTTTCAGAGGGAGCATGACGTGTCCCCCACCAGAGGTACTATCCCTCCCTTTTGACATGTAACACTTTAATAGTTAATTCATCGGATGTTCTAACCATGGCTCTGAATATTAACCATGGAGTTGTATTATGCAGAATCATTATCAGGGCTTGCTTTTAACCAAGGTTTGAAGTTAGAGCAGGAGTGCAGTCTGCTGCCAATCTATTAATTATAGTTAAGAGATTGCCCTGGCACAAACATATTGGTTCCAATCTGTACATTTGCTTTGTTTTTCTTCATCTTTATTGTTTCATCATTAGAAAACTTAGAACAGATTTTCCCTTTAATTAGATATTCATAGCAACTGCATTTTCAGGGTTGCCCCTCATTTTGAAATAAAATAGTGTTGCAGTGGAGCAGTTTTAAAAATGTGATCTCACAAACTTGCCTTAAGTCCCCTTAGACCACTTTGCAGACTACTGCTATGCTCAGTGTGTTTGCTATTGCCCGGTTTTGATCACAGTTGGATTTACAGTGAATTAAATATAGTGGATAAAAATACAAAAGAACTAGAAGAGAGGAAGAGCTGTAGGTGAGTTATCTGAAGTTTAACATGGCATATTAGCCCTTATTTCCAATATTTATGAGTTGCCTATCTGGTAGAATGAAGGCGACTTACAGCTATAATACAAATACAAAACAAGAAAGAGAACTGGTCTTGGTTATGTACGTATATCAGGAAGCACACTACTTGATAAATACCATGCGCTTTCATTGTTGGCAAGAGTTCATAACCCACCTGGCACTGAGCACCCATCTAAATTTCAGAGTTGTGGAAGGTTGATTCGAAAGGAAAAATTAAGACGACAAGCAGCATGCTTTAACCTGTATCATTCAATTCAGGGTAGAAAGGAAGAAAAAATTCTTGCTAACTGAAGTAAATGATGGTTGGGATGGAGAACACTGAGCCAAGGAACAAGTGGAGGAAGAAATAATGGTACATCTTTAAATATGTGGCTGTTCAGACTAAGTTTATGTACACAGCATACCATAAAACAGAAGTTCTGTGTTTATGAGGCTGTGGTGGTAGTATTTTTTTCCTATTCAAATGATTGTGTTTGGCTCAATTGATAACAGTTTAATGACATTTTGACTATGTCAGAGTAATAGTAATGCCCTGAAAACATAAAAGTGTCGTAGATCTGTATCTGTAGGAGTGCACTTGCTGCTACTACTGTTTCTGGGAGGTGGCTGAATCATCCTGATGGCATTCAACAGGAACCAGCTGCTGAGAATATTAAAATGCAAGCATTTATTCCTCCAGAGAGACAGTAACATCTGCAAAGTTTTCCTGTCTTGATAATCCCACAGAGCATTCTGTAGTAGTCTTAACTTTACTGTGTCTTTCTTTATGAATTCTCTTTGGAATCCTTGTAGTCTTCAGGATCTGCATAGGGGACTGTTAGACCTATGTATATCTCTGTGCCTGAGATTAAAAATAAAACAGTTTTGGAAAGAACGTATAAGCAACTGCTCTACAACTATCTTATTGGTGTAGAATAGAAAATGTGTTTTTTCTTGTACGATGAGTCACTTTCATCACCAAAATTTGAAGATGATGGGAGGAAGAAGGAGCTACAAAAGATGCTTCTAGAGGTTCCATTTCAAGTATATTTGAAATCCATAACAAATTTTTAGAATCTACTTAAAAATTATATCAGATTCATGCTCCTTTTCATGATCTTAAATGTGGGTGTAGTCCTTCCATGACCAACATCCAGCTTTTTTATTAATCCCTTTCTTCTCTCACAAAATGCATTCCACTCATTCAAGCTATTCACCGGGTTTCTGCAAGACTATCTGCTATTCTATTTATGTTTGTGTTTTGCATACTTTGCCTGGTTTTCTACACTGTGGCTGCAGTCCAGCTAAAGTTGATTATGACTCAATCTCATTGAAATAAATAGAACAGGTTGCTAGCAATTAGGGCAGCTTTTATTGCTTTCAGTGGGACTTAAGTTCCAACCACCTTTAGCTAGATTGGTGTCACCATGCAGAAAGAAATCCAGCAAAAGTGTGTGCCTGCACACATAAGTAAACAGAATAGCAGAGGACCATGAGAATTACTTGAATTAGTAGAATGCAGGCTATGAGAAATGAGAGGGATTATTAGGTGAAGGATTTGATGTAGGTCATGATAGGGCTACACAGATTATCAAGGTCAGGAGGCACGCGAATCTGATGCAAAAAGCAACAGCAAAATTAATCCAGGAGCTGCAAAAGAAATATGTAGTTTTTATGCTAAAATATATGGGAATATACTTCTTTAACATGTTTCCTGAGCTAGAATATTCAGAAAAATTTATTTTAAT